CTACGCAGACGACACCATTTTGTATACATCTGGCCCTTCATTGGACACTGTGTTAACAAACCTCCAAACGAGCTTCAATGCCATACAACACTCCTTCAGTAGCCTCCAACTGCTCTTAAACACTAGTAAAACTAAATGTATGCTTTTCAATCGAACGCTGCTGGCACCCGCCCACCCGACTAGAATCACCACTCTCGACGGGTCTGACCTAGAGTATGTGGACAACTACAAATACCTAGGTGTCTGGTTAGACTGTAAACTCTCCTTCCAGACTCACATAAAGAATCTCCAATCCAAAGGTAAATCTAGAATCGGCTTCCTATTTCGCAACAAAGCCTCCTTCACTCATGCTGCCAAACATGCCCTCGTAAAACTGACTATCCTACCGATCCTTGACTTCGGCGATGTCATTTACAAAATAGCCTCCAACACTTTACTCAGCAAACTGGATGTAGTCTATCACAGTGCCATCCGTTTTGTCTCCAAAGCCCCATACACTACCCACCACTGTGACCTGTACGCTCTTGTTGGCTGGTCCTCACTACATGTTCGTCGTCAAACCAACTGGCTCCAGGCCATCTATAAATCACTGCTAGGCAAATCCCCGCCTAATCTTAGCTCATTGGTCACCATAGCAGCACCCACCCGTAGTCTGCGCTCCAGCAGGTATATCTCACTGGTCATTCCCAAAGCCAACACCTCCTTTGGCCGCCATTCCTTCCAGTTCTCTGCTGCCAATGACTGGAACGAATTGCAAAAATCTCTGAAGCTGGAGACTCTTATCTCCCTCACTAACTTTAAGCATCAGTTGTCAGAGCACCTTACCGATCACTGCACCTGTACACAGCCCATCTGAAATTAGCCCAGCCAACTACCTCATCCCTATATTGTTATTTATTTTGCTCTTTTGCACCCCAGTATCTCTATTTGCACATAATCTCTTGCACATCTAGCATTCCAGTGTTAATACTATTGTAATTACTTTGCACTATAGCCTATTTATTGCCTTACCTCCATAACTTGCTACATTTGCACACACTGTATATATATTTTCTGTTGTATTTTTGACTTTATGTTTTTTTACCCCATATGTAACTCTGTGTTGTTTTTATCGCACTGCTTTGCTTTATCTTGGCCAGGTCGCAGTTGTAAATGAGAACTTGTTCTCAACTGGCTTACCTGGTTAAATAAAGGTGAAATAAAATCAATAAAAATCTATGATGTGACCAGATGTGGAGTCCTTCACTGCAATGTCACACAAGACATTGGATTTTGATAACACGTCACATGCTATGCTATATAATATTTTTCCATTCACTGCACTGTCCAAATTATAGAGGCATAAAGCTTTCCAAGTGCAAGATTTTACAATGAAAATAAATGCTCAATGTAGTTAGAATTTGACCAACAATGGACATAGGCAATTCATGTATTTGCAAAAATAATGTTAGCCTACACTAAGAATAGATGATAATCTCATAGGCCTATATTATATTTTAATGACATACAGTAAAATGCTTATACAATTAATCGAACGGGACAATTCATTCATAAATCCTCAAGGTAAAGTTAAAGACCAGTTGAACTTAAAATTGAAGGTAAAGGTGTGACTTCTACAGACATGCATTAGTGTCATTGATGTCTAAAGAAGCCAGCCAGGTTCAGTTGGAAGCCAGCCTGCCACATATACATTCTAAAGCACTGGGTAAATCTGTCAATAAAGAGCTAATTAAAAAAACAGAAGGGCCGATTGCGTAAGCTGTCTCTCTCCTGTGTAATGTTTGGCTGCAATATTTATTTTTAGCGTAGACCTGTCTTGAGGTAGTACATAAACCTACCGCTGTATCTATGTTCATGTTTCTCCACGTCAAAAGCCTGGCAGTATTTGAGTTATTTGTGTAAAAGAGTAGAGTTTATGAAATATCTCACCTTTGAGCGAACAACCCGGCGTGACAAAACCAGAGAGGGAAAAGGAACGTAAATGTATGTGAGACCTATTGGTCGACTGTCATTTTACTTCCTGTTCAAGAGATTGCCACTATCGGACAATTTGCTGTCCATCAAATAAAGTTAAACCTACATGCGGCAGTATTGTGGAAACGTGTAAAATCAGCGGTTACAAAGTTTCCATTCATAAAATGACAAATGACACTCAGATGGGTGCCCCCATTTGTTTTCCAATCAATATTGATAATGGACATAATAATTTGGAAATTTGGAATGATTATAACAGTACATGGTCAATAAGGGCAGATTTTTCTCCAAGATGTTCAAACGTTTATAGATGACCAGCAGGGTTAAATAATAATCACACACACACACACACACACACACTTATTACACATGTACTACATGTAGTAAACAAATTACAATGAGCCAGTAGCCTAATAACAAATCATAATGTAGGTTATTATGTAACCAGACCAGTCTTTATGCAGTTATTTTGGGATTGGATGGTCAAGGTGTGCCACACTGAATCCAACCTCAATGTAAGTACAACAATCTGAAACACATACCTAATTATTTGGCGCGACTAATCCACTAGTCTCAAAAACCTGACCCTAGGCAACAGTGACCAGTCAGGTTGGGTTTTCCAGACTATTAATCCACCGCATGGAGTTTGTTTTGCTGCTGAGATCGGCGCAGCCACTGCCAGAGCCACATGGACAAGACCACGCAGCTCTCAAACTGTGCGCTCGAGTGATTTAGCTCTCCAAAGCCTGCTGTTTGAAAAGGAGTAGAGTAATATAACACAGTATATATTGTCTTGATGAAACATGTCAAGCCTTTGCACCTCCATCGTCACCTGTATCCATTCTGTTACTAGGACAACGGACTAGGACAGTTATCAATTGATTGTGACTTTATAGCCTACATGGACAGCATCTAAAGTCTACACATGTAGCCACAGTCTAATCATTCGTGCAATATGGTATCAATCTAACCAATTACTAATTTACACCCAGGTGTGCATGGACAGTGATTTCAAAAGTTATGAACATGTGTTGTGAGGAGTGAGGTGGACATATATATATATATATATATATTTTTTTTTTTTCCTTAAAGTTTACATAATCTATATCCACAAGTACAGCACTAATGTAAAAGCGTTATGTCAGTCTTTTAGCAGCATGTGGTTTGGTTGTGTGTCTCCTGTAGGCCTGTACACCGTTTGCCAAACAGAATATTTAGGCTACTAATGAATGTCTTGGCAAAGGTCTCTTTGACCGGAACGTTACATGTTCATAAATGTTCTCACTAAACTGTGTGCTGGAGTACCCATTCTAGTTTTCACTTTTCCCAACCTGTGACTTCAGGTGTGCAATATTTTTTATTTCTACTCTCTTATATATGAGTGAAAGTGTGTTGTCTGTCCAGAGCTGAAGGTTGTGGAGAAGAAGATTAGCTTCTCCAGCAGAGAGAAAATGCCACAACACAGGATGTGGAGAAGTCAGTGCTGTCCATACTGTAAGGCTCTATCCTAAACTGTACTGCCATCTATAGGATTTTAATAGCAACAGCACGCAACAATTTCACATTCTCACAAATGCACATTAATTGTGATGTTGATTCCAGTGAATCTGGGTGAAGATGTTGGTAATGGTGATAACTGTTCTCTGTCTTGTCCTCTCTGTCCATGTCACGTGGCGTCAGAACTGCTTGAGGCCAATACAGCAGAATGTCATGTTGCCTCGTGAGCCACCCGCACCGGTTGACAGTGAAGACACGTCATGTAAGTAACTACTTCAGTGGACCAGACAGAGACAGGGAGAGAGCCGAGAGAGAATGGTCCAAAAACACTGTACTAATGTGCTGGAGTACTACAAAGTGAATCAACCTGGGTCGTGTTCAGTAGGACACACCGTAGCCAAACTGTAAACAAAAAATATAATTTCTTATTGGACAAGACCCAACAAAATATATAATATGATGCAAAGTGAACATGACCCTCGTTAAACAGTATCCAGAAACAGCTTATCTCACTGAATGTGGCCACAATTCACTATAGATGGGGTCTGCACATCAACACTGTTACATTATGGGAAGTGCAGTCAAGTCTTAGCCCAAAGAAGAGGAGGAGCCTATTAATTAGTATGCAAGTTCCTCCCTCTTGCTGTTCTAGCTTTGCTTAAAGATGCCTATTTTCTCAGTATACAGTCTTGCTTAGGGTGTCCATCATTATTCCAGGCGCATCAACAGAATGTCAAGCAGACGACAAAAAAACAGTTTTTCAGCAGACAAAACATACTTCAGGATGAAAGGACGTTGGTGGAAGAATCCGGGATCGTCGCTTTGCGTCACGCAAAGGATGACTATATGGAGATGAAAGAGAGCTACTATGAACCAGCTCCCTAGGAGAAACTACAAGAAGGAACAGGATTGGTCCCATAATATGGCACTATTATGATCATTCATTGGTTCTGCATGTTTTACAAAAACACTGTTTGGAACCCTTGACACTCAAATGAAGGCCAAATAAAGACCACCTGCTTCATAGAAATTCAAACTATCTTGTGTGAGCCTTATTGACAGTAGGCCTAAAGAATACATTGTTTCTGAGGTGTGGCAAATGGGAGCGGCGAATGACATCATAAATGCACTTATTGAAAAACGACATTGTGCTGCAGTGTTTGATTCAGTTTGATTCAGTGGACCACAAACTGTTGCTAGCCAGATTCAGTAACATTGGTCTCAATGGGTCCTCCAACTTTAGTAACACTATACGTGATTTTATTTGATATAAGATATACAAATGTGCTAATTAAATGAAATAAAGTAATCAGTTGTAGTGCCTTAGAGCCTTATGTTTCAACTAGTTCATAGAATGTAATAGTTTCTATCTGCCACGGAGGGGGTCATATACACTCAAACAGAAGCAGGAAGAGAGTTAAAGACAGCTATAGCTATTAGGAAGTTCAGTCTTTCTCTTTGGTGCCTTGGTCCTTGACACACACATTGTGCATTGGTACCATATAACATACGGAGACACATACCCAGAAATGGCTTCTCATCTCTCCCTCTCCATCCTCCTCCTCATCTTCTCCAGACTCTCAGGTAAGGGTAACATGTTTCTATGAAGTGCTGAAGTTGAGGTCAGGGACTGGGACTGGACACATGCTGACACTCTGAAGACAGGAGCAGTAGCTTGTCTTATCAATAACACTTCCTGTATTATGTGTGTTATAGTCCAGATGGAATGTCATTTTACTGCTGTGAGAATTTTATTGAATTCCAATCTAATGTGTTTTCTGTTGTTGTGTCTACAGGTGCTTATCGTGTGTCTGTGAAGACAGGAGGCTCCATCACCATCCCGTGTCCCTATCATCAGGAATACAAAACCCATGTGAAATATTGGTGTAAAGGATATTATTTCAATAGTTGCTCTCCTGTTGTACGCACTTACCTTCCTAAGAGCACAGCTAAGGCCTCAATCTCTGATGACATCAACCAGCTAACCTTCACTGTGAACATGACTGATCTGGGGAGAAAGTCCTCTGGACGTTACTATTGTGCTGTGGTGATCAATGGCCTACAACATGTCTGGACAAATTGGTTCGACCTATCTGTCACTCCAGGTAAGACCCTGCAACTCTTCCATATGATTACATGACTGGTGTTCTGGTTTCATTTACTGGTGTCACTATTATTGTTCAAGTTGACATGAGGAAAGTTGGTATATGTCTACTTTCTGTTCTCTATCCATCATATCATAATTATGATATTTGTTGTCAGTTGTTACAAAAAAACCACTTGATCACTCAGGACCTTCTTTGGTGTGTGTACCTCTGTGTTCAGGTACTCTAAAACTCTATGTGGACCAACAGGAGGTGACTGGAGTTGAAGGAGGGAGTGTCATTGTAAAATGTTACTATGGTGACATTGGACATATGAAGTGGTGCAGGATTGGCAGGATTGGCAGTGTCTCCTGTATGTGGGGGAATTCTGGGAGTATAGATGGAACATCAGTGACCCTACAGCAGACCACAAGAAGAAACAACTTAACGGTGACTATGAGTGATCTGAAGATGGAGAACACTGGCTGGTACAGTTGTGAAGTGGAAGACCGTATGATGCCTGTTCACATCACTGTCAGACGACAAACCACCACACAAAGTACCACCACTGTGACCAGTGAGTAGAGAGCAATCAGATACTGTATAATTAAGTATTAACCTGGTTTTATCCAGACTTGCTGGCTTATCATCTAAATCAAATTGGATTTTAACCAGATTCAAAGCTTTTGGGAATAGTTACAGAGGTCCTACCTGTCACACCCTGGCTCTGGGGACTCTATATGTTGAGCCAGGGTGTGTAGATTCTATGTGTGTTTGTTCTATGTTCACAGTCTAGTTTGTATTTCTATGTTGGCCAGAGTGGTTCCCAATCAGAGGCAACGAGTGTCAGCTGTTGCTGGTTGTCTCTGATTGGGAGCCATATTTAGACAGGCTGTGTTCCCACAGGTGTTGTGGGATCTTGTTCCTTTTGGTTTGTTCCGTGTTGGTTGTGTTTAACCTAGGACGTCAAGTTATTGTTTTGTTCTTGTTATCACTATCGATAATAAAGTATGTTCGTTCATCACGCTGCGCCTTGGTCTACTCCGTTTGACGATCGTGACACTACCATTGGTTTGAACTCAACAGTGCTAATACTAAGTGAAAATCCACATGTTGGGGTAAATGAAATAAGCTGGACAAGAAGGTCATAGCTTAGCCACAATGTCTTGTTACAGTTCAGTCTACCCTGTGTCTCTCTGGTACACCAGTCATAATAACATTGTTGTTTTTACCTCACAGCAACCCAAGCTCCAACCACTGAACAATCCTCTTTCTCTCCAACTGCTGAGCCTGTTCAGACTGACAACACAGTCCAAGGACCTGAGGGGGGCAAGGAGAAGGACAACATGAGGTAATGATCACTTATTCAGCTGTATTTCACACTTACTCTTCCAAATGGATAACAATAGAAATAATACCTTAAACGTCTTCACACAGTATAGGCCAAGACACTGTTGTCATAGAGACATTTACCATCATAGAAACAGAGACATTTACCACTTCCTCGTACCTCTGTGGCTTGTTGAAGTAGCAGCATTCTATTCTTGTATGGCCAAGTTTCACACATAAAAGGTGTGAAGAGCTGAACAAATATTTCCATTTAGTCATAGCAGCACAAAAAGTATCATAAAAAAATCTTAATATCTTATATGTTTTACGGACTATATTTTACAATAAACAAAGTCTTTCACCTTCAGTTCCATAGTTCTAAAAGTCCTACTGATTCCTCTGGGCATGTTGGTTGTGGTGATATCTGGTGTCCTAGTCACATGAAGCAGTGGACACATCAATTCAGTCTACAAGTGTAGACCTAATGCAATCACAGATTGGTACAGACACCAAAAGAGGTCCTGACTGAGTGACCAAGTGTTTTTTGTAACAACTGACCAGAAATGTCATAATTATGATATGATGGATCGCAGATTGTCATTACAATACGTAGGGGTTTTGTAACAGATGTCTCTTTCCATTCATCAAATTGCAGGTGCACAGTGCACTGTTTGGATGCTGGAATTATTTTGTGATTGCAGGAACGTTCGCGGGTAACCTACAGGAGCCCCTTTTTGAAGTGATTGTTTGACACTCAGATGAAAACATCATGACTGGTTGTATTTCTGCCATATTAAAAGGTAATGCATGTTAAAAGTGATATGACTAATCTTTACTAGTCCTAGACTACTAGGCCACAGAGATTATATATTAAAATAATAAGGTTTGTATATGTAATTCTATGATTACACCTAGGCTTTAAAAATATAGATATACTTTCACCCCTGTTGAAAATATTATTATTATTATTATTAGTATATATAAATCCTTCGCCCTTCTCTGAAGACGTAGAAGGCCCTCATTGTTCCCCACTGTGTTTGGGTTAGTAATAATTTGTAGAGTACCTCTATTTGCCCTCAACATGCATTGTTTCACCATTCTGAATGTCTAAAAAAAATCCATATGTTCTTCTGAAATATGAACACAGATATACAGGATATGTATTACTTTTATTTAGATGGCGATTTGACAAAATTACAATCATGGTCTTGAATTGGACTTGCATTTTTCTGGTCTCAGTCTTGCCTCGGTCTTAGACCCCTCGTCCCGGTCCAGGTCTCGGTCTTGACTCGGAATCGATTTGCGCCGGGCCTGGTCTTGAATCGGACTTGCTTTAGGTGGTCTCGAACACAACATTGCTGGTATCACTATTATTCTTCAAGTTGACATGAGGAATGTTGGTATATGTCTACTTTCTGTTCTCTATCCATCATATCATAATTATGATATTTGTGGTCAGTTGTTACAAAAAAACACTTGATCACTCAGGACCTTCTTTGGTGTGTGTACCTCTGTGTTCAGGTACTCCAGAACTCTATGTGGACCAACAGGAGGTGACTGGAGTTGAAGGAGGGAGTGTCATTGTAAATTGTTACTATAGTGACATTGGACATATGAAGTGGTGCAGGATTGGCAGGATTGGCAGTGTCTCCTGTATGTGGGGGAATTCTGGGAATATAGATGGAACATCAGTGACATTACAACAGTCCAAAGCTGTCACCAGAAGAAAAGTCTTAACGTTGACAATGAGTGGTCTGAAGATGAAGATCAATGTTTTTCACACAAGTTTAGGTCACAAAAACACCCTCCTTAAACGTTTTCACACCGAGTATAGGTCAACACACTTCCTCACACCCTGTTATAGAGACATTTACCATCATAGAGACAGACACATTTACCACTTCCTCATACCTCTGTGGCTTGTTGAAGTAGCAGCCTTCTATTCTTGGATGGCCAAGTTTCACACATTAAAGGTGTGAAGAGCTGAACAAACATTTCCATTTTGTCATAGCAGCACAAAAAATATCCTAAACAAATATATATTTATTTGTGATATTTTATGGACTGCATTTGGCAATAAACAGACTTTCACCATCAGTTCAATAGATCTAAAAGTCCTACTGGTTCCTCTGGGCATGCTGGTGGTGGTGATATCTGGTGTTCTAGTCACATGGAAGATAACTACACTACCACCTTCAATGATCCACACTCATTAAATACCTTGTGCAGTCAAAATCATCACTGAAGGAAACTGTTAAATATACACTGCCTCTAGAAAAGTCTTCCCTTTACATTTCCCCGTTAAAAAATGTCATTGTATTGCAGCAATTTACAGAGGAACATGTTCTAAATGTTTTAATTATTCTACAGATGGGGGGCAAACATTCTTCTACATGCCAAACATTGGTAATGCAGTGCTCTTCCTCAGCATATGTTCACCCCCTACTAAAGGGTGGAGACCCTTCAGATGTGAATAACTATTGCTCTATTTCCAAGCTACCTATCCTGGTCAAAGTCTTTGACTTCCTAGTGAACTCTCAGCTAAATACATTCCTACTTGAATATTACATCCTGTTTGGGGTTCAGTCTGGCTTTAGTTGACCACAAACTTTTGCTAGCCTGTCTCAATAACATTGGTCTCAGTGGATGTCAATTGGTTTAGAAAGTATCTCACAGACAGAACAAAATGCATCTATGCTGAGAATCACAAGTCTAGCTTTCTTTTAGATTACTAGAGGTGTACCCCAGGGCTCAATTTTAGCTCCATTAAAAGGTGTCATCAAACAAATACCTAGGTATATGGTTGGAAAATAAACTGTCCTACAAAGTTAATGTTGATAATCTTGTGAGGAAGGTTTAACTGAAATATATACAGTATTTATTTATTTATTTTCGCAACAAGGCTTGTTCAAGACACTTTTCTTTAATTGATTATGGTGACTTAATGTACATGCATGAAGCCTCCCCTGTGCTACAGAGACTGGACTCAGTCTATCATGCATCCTTGTGCTTTGTTACAAATGCCAAGTCACTCATCCACCATTGCACCTTATATCAAATGGTGGGCTAGACCTCATTTTACATGGGCAGACAGCTACATTGGTATGTGTTCATATATAAAGCCCTTCTGACTAAACTCCTCCACTACCTCTGTAGCCTGTTCTCCTTCACCACTAGCAGTTACCAGACACGGTCTACTAGGTGGTTGCTACTTAATATCCCCAGGGCCGTTACCCAGTTAGACAAGACTACCTTTTTCTATTGTGCACCAGAGGCATGGAATAGTCTGCAAAGTATGCGTCACCTTGAGGTTCTAGTGCCCCTCAGAGAGTTTACAACTCTGGTGCAAAACTCTATTCAGGAGGAGTAGTGTAAATGTTTCATGTAGGCTGTTTTGCCTTAGTCTTTGATTTAAGGTTATATATTGCTATTGGCCAAGTAAATGTACTATTATTGAAAGTTATTTTTGTCATCTGTAGATATACAAATGTGCTAATCAAATAAAGTAATCAGTTGTAATGCCTTAGAGCCTTATGTTACAACTAGTTCATAGAATGTAATAGTTTCTATCTGCCACTGAGGGGGGCATATACACTATAACAGAAGCAGGAAGAGAGTTAAAGACAGCTATAGCTGTTAGGAAGTTCAGTCATTCTCTTTGGTGGTTTGGTCCTAGACACACACATTGTGCATTGGTACCATATAACATACGGAGACACATACCCAGAAATGGCTTCTCATCTCTCCCTCTCCATCCTCCTCCTTATCTTCTCCAGACTATCAGGTAAGGGTAACATGTTTTTTAGGGGGGAAATGACGTGGCAGCGTGGTAGGCACAGCTTGTTACATTAATTAATAGTAAAACAAACATTCTGGATAATATAGAGAACCTTCAACTATTTATTGATCAACACTTTGAAATGCTCGAACCAGAATCATAGCAGAACTCTCCTCGAGCAAAACTGAAGGTAAGCCGTCATCTAAACTTCCAAATATGACAATGGAAGAAGAGACTTTTATAACAATGTCAGCAGAAGATGGGCATTGCTGTCAAGCATGAGCGAGCAGTTAAAAAAGATAGATCTATTGCCTGGGTTAATGGAGGAGGTTGAGGCCCTCAAATCAGGAATGGATTACAGCAATAAAATGATGGAAGAAATATGAGCTGAAAATATGTTTTTGAAAACGACCGTGGACTCCCTAAAAGCCACTATGGCAAGGATCATCAACTAGATTCAGCTGCGGGCCGATCTTTTCTTGAGTGGATGGTCAAGGGGCCAGAACATAATTACAAATAATGTATAGACTGCAAATTGACCGCAAGATGCCGAAACAGATGACTAAAACATAATCACTTCAAACCTTGCTTAGATATGTATACAATCACATACAGTGGGGAAAAAAAGTATTTAGTCAGCCACCAATTGTGCAAGTTCTCCCACTTAAAAAGATGAGAGAGGCCTGTAATTTTCATCATAGGTACACGTCAACTATGACAGACCAAATGAGAAAAAAAATCCAGAAAATCACATTGTAGGATTTTTTATGAATTTATTTGCAAATTATGGTGGAAAATAAGTATTTGGTCAATAACAAAAGTTTCTCAATACTTTGTTATATACCCTTTGTTGGCAATGACACAGGTCAAACGTTTTCTGTAAGTCTTCACAAGGTTTTCACACACTGTTGCTGGTATTTTGGCCCATTCCTCCATGCAGATCTCCTCTAGAGCAGTGATGTTTTGGGGCTGTCGCTGGGCAACACGGACTTTCAACTCCCTCCAAAGATTTTCTATGGGGTTGAGATCTGGAGACTGGCTAGGCCACTCCAGGACCTTGAAATGCTTCTTACGAAGCCACTCCTTTGTTGCCCGGGCGGTGTGTTTGCGATCATTGTCATGCTGAAAGACCCAGCCACGTTTCATCTTCAATGCCCTTGCTGATGGAAGGAGGTTTTCACTCAAAATCTCACGATACATGGCCCCATTCATTCTTTCCTTTACACGGATCAGTCGTCATGGTCCCTTTGCAGAAAAACAGCCCCAAAGCATGATGTTTCCACCCCCATGCTTCACAGTAGGTATGGTGTTCTTTGGATGCAACTCAGCATTCTTTGTCCTCCAAACACGACGAGTTGAGTTTTTACCAAAAAGTTATATTTTGGTTTCATCTGACCATATGACATTCTCCCAATCCTCTTCTGGATCATCCAAATGCACTCTAGCAAACTTCAGACGGGCCTGACATGTACTGGCTTAAGCAGAGGGACACGTCTGGCACTGCAGGATTTGAGTCCCTGGCGGCGTAGTGTGTTACTGATGGTAGGCTTTGTTACTTTGGTCCCAGCTCTCTGCAGGTCATTCACTAGGTCCCCCTGTGTGGTTCTGGGATTTTTGCTCACCGTTCTTGTGATCATTTTGACCCCACGGGGTGAGATATTGCGTGGAGCCCCAGATCGAGGGAGATTATCAGTGGTCTTGTATGTCTTCCATTTCCTAATAATTGCTCCCACAGTTGATTTTTTCAAACCAAGCTGCTTACCTATTGTAGATTCAGTCTTCCCAGTCTGGTGCAGGTCTACAATTTTGTTTCTGGTGTCCTTTGACAGCTCTTTGGTCTTGGCCATAGTGGAGTTTGGAGTGTGACTGTTTGAGGTTGTGGACAGGTGTCTTTTATACTGATAACAAGTTCAAACAGGTGCCATTAATACAGGTAACGAGTGGAGGACAGAGGAGCCTCTTAAAGAAGAAGTTACAGGTCTGTGACAGCCAGAAATCTTGCTTGTTTATAGGTGACCAAATACTTATTTTCCACCATAATTTGCAAATAAATTAATAAAAAATCCTACAATGTGATTTTCTGGAGAAAAAAAATCTCAATTTGTCTGTCATAGTTGACGTGTACCTATGATGAAAATTACAGGCCTCTCTCATCTTTTTAAGTGGGAGAACTTGCACAATTGGTGGCTGACTAAATACTTTTTTCCCCCACTGTATACCTCTCTATTATTTTTGCTAATACTATGGTACAGATTTCCAAAATTAAAATAACTTTAAGCTGATTTGCTTGTCTCTTTATTGTCTCTAAATACATTTTGTTCAGAAAAATTGGGGGGGGGGGAATTAAATCACATGCGGGCCAAATTTGGCTCGCAGGCCGCCAGTTGGGGAACCCTGCACTACTGAGAGGCTATAGTATGATAACACAATGAAAACAGAATGACTTGGTCTGAAGTGCAGAAGTATGAAGAATAATATTGTCATAATGGGAATAAAGTAGGATGAAAACTATAAGGCAACTGAGGATAAAGTCAAGGTTTTCATGAAACAATCTCAAGATGAAGGAGGAACAGGAGGACACAAATTATTTTCAAATGGCTCACGGTTTGGGTGGCAGAGGGGAGGGAAGGCACCGTCCCACCGTCAGATAGTAGCTAGGCTAACTCACTACAAAATGAATAGGTTAACTCACTACAAAATGAATAGGCTAACTCACTGCAAAATGAATAGGCTAACTCACTGCAAAATGAATAGGCTAACTCACTACAAAATGAATAGGCTAAGTCACTACAACATGAATAGGCTAACTCTCTACAAACTGAATAGGCTAACTCACTGCAAAATGAATAGGCTAACTCACTACAAAATGAATAGGCTAACTCACTACAAAATGAATAGGCTGAGTCACTACAAAATGAATAGGCTAACTCACTACAAAATGAATAGGCTAACTCACTACAAAATGAATAGGCTGAGTCACTACAAAATGAATAGGCTAACTCACTACAAAATTAATAGGCTAACTCACTACAAAATTAATAGGCTAACTCACTACAAAATGAAGATTGCCTTGCTACAACGGGGTAGGGAGCTGAAGAACACACCGTTCTCTATTAATGAGCAATTTCCCCATGAAATAGTGGAGACGACGTGCCCTAACCCACTTTCAAAATGCTCCGAGCAGATAAGCAGAATGTTCATCTAGTGGTAGATAAATTGTATGTAAACAACCAATTGTTGAAGGATTCAAAGTTAACAATGTGGCTGTGAGTGATATATCATGATACACATTGCTCCGCACTACACATTACAATCCTATATTATAATAATAATAATTATTATTATTATTATTGTTATTATTATTTTTATTATTATTATGTTATTTTTTATGCATGATGGACTCATCCTTTTTTACTCATGCGATACAGAACCTTGGAC